AGAGATCCCATAGATATCTTGCTTTTAACAACGTTTCAAATATTCCTGAACAGAACACTTCTCACGTTTTCTCTCCGTGTACTCATATCTATTCTCTCCGAATTACTAAAATTCCACAAATTCTTCTTCTTCTTGGCCCAGCAACATCGACGAAACACACAAGATGCCTTTGGAGTTGGTTGTTCAAACCTCCCAACAAGTCAGTCGAATACATAAATCTATTAGGAAATATTCGATAGAAAAGGAAATCGACAATAAACTGCATGCTTGGCGAATACGACAGAGCATGCAACAAATATAACAACAATGACAAACTACTAAAACAAAAAAGAAGACTTCGACTACAACGACGACGACGTCGGATGCAACAATTATCATCAATGTTGTAACAAATGTGACGTTTACATTGTCGTTCATTTATCGTCCAGGTGACTGAGTGTCGAGTGTCAGTCGTTGAGACGTTCTGGCTGGCCATCAGGCATTGTTGGTAGCTTGCATTGTTTTTATGGTGGAGTTGTCATGGATGTATGTATGCGCACATGTTTCATGCAACAGTTGTTGGCTGTTGTTGTTAGGAGCTAAGCTTAACACCACCTCTCTCGGCAACAGCTACGATCGTCTTCGCCAACATCGGCGAACAACATCAACAAACGATAACTCAGTCATGGTTTTATTTTATTATTTTGGTATTATACCGTAAACATTATTTTTGCAAAATTAAAAACAACAACAACAGCTAAACTTAGTTTGTTGTTTTGGCCATTTGTCCAATAATACAATATGTACCCAACACATTGTGGTAAGATAGTCACTGCGTCTATCTCAGCCAATTGACCACCACTACCACCATAAAAACAGACAAATGTGTTGTTCGGATTTTGGCAGCAAACAGCGGTTTAACGAGTTTTCTTCTTCTTCGTAATTTTTTAAGTTTGTTGTTTCTTATTTTTTAACATTTTTGTTGTTAACAAAAAAAAAAAAAAAACACGCCAACAACAAGAGGCCAAACCAAGACATAATAAACAACAGAAATAGAGTAGAGCCCCCTCTCTGGAGACAGGGGGAGGATGCAGAGAACCCAATATGGAAATAAACAACAGAGAGTAAATGAGAGAAACTCTCTGGAGAAATCAAAACAAAAAAAAAAGATGGTTCCACGCATCATCTACCATTAATGTACGTGGTCGCTACTGTCATTCCCCATATGTCGCTCAATTTCTCTCATCCGATCTCTGGTATAAATGATTTTTTTTTTCTGGGTTCTTTGATCACAATCCAGAGCAGCAAAGAGAGCCTGGCTTACATGAGTGAGTATAAGCGCCAAACCGTTGCAGATAATTGCGAATTGTTGGTAAAAACACGAAATGTTAATGATTCTTAACATACAGTTATGTGCAAAAGTATGTGATGATTGGCTTAATTATTAGAAAACCATTAAATATTTAAGTTAGATAAGAAGAAAACTTGAGAGCCACTTGAGGAGAATAACTTATTACTTACAGGGTGAGAGAATAACTTATTACTCAAAGGGAGAGACGAAAAAACTCCAAACCATTTCAGATTGCTGTCATTTCTAAGCCACTCGTCCGACAGCTGTTAAAATTATTCCATGACAGCTCATTATATTGTTTACAAGCGTACAAAAGCATTTTGGTGAGAATTTTGCAGAAAAAAAGTTATTCGTGATGGAATTCAAGCGTGATAGTGTGATTTCCCTATATTTGGCTTGAAAACCAGCATTTAAATGTGAGTAAATCTTTTGTGCCTCGTACCATAGCTCGTTACCGTGATACTTGTAGCGTAGCCTGACGTCAAGGAAGTGGACGGAAGAAAACAGCAACGTCAGCATATATGGTTCGAAAAGTAAAGAAGCGACTTGATCGAAACCCGCGTCGCAGTGGCCTAAACATGGCTCATGTGCTGAACATATCGCAATATTCCATTCGGCAAATATTGAAAAATGAGCTCGGGGTAAAGCCATTGAAATTCCAAAAAGTGCAAGAACTTATACCGCAACAGAAAGAAAATAGAAAACATCCGATGAGAAAACATTCGTTGTCCAGCAGTTTGTAAAAAACAAAATTATCGTGTTTTCTTGCCAAAGAGGTCAGCTGAAAATGTGCACCTTCGGTTGGCCACCAGAACTCAAGCGCCGGCTACGGTGATGGCGTGGGCCGCCATAACAGCCGATTGTCGCTCTCCGCTCGTATTAATCGACCGTGACATCAGAATAAATACCGAATATTACCGAGCCTTGGGCACGCAAGCAATTTGGCCGCAGACATTGGACATTCCAACAGGACTCAGCACCATCGCACTTAGAACGCGCCACCCACGAATGGTTACAAAATGAGGTTCCTTGCTTAATTTCCAGCGCACAATGGCCACCAAAATCCCCGGATACCAATCCATTGGACTATTGTGTCTGGAGTATTTTAGAAAGCAGGATTGGCAATAAAAAATACCAAAGTGTCCATCACCTCAAATAAGCGCTTCGCCGGGAATGAGCCAAAATACCGGGCAACAAAAAACAACATTTTAATTATGGCGTTTGAATTTGTTGCAGTTTTTTTATCTCACCCAAATGCGACCTGCATTTTGTTAACAAAAATACATGGACGGACGGAAGGATGGACAGACAGACGGACTGGTAGACATAAATCGACTCAGAAAGTGATTCTATTAAGATCCTCAAAAGTAACAATTTGTCTACCTCGCTTCCTTCTCCATGTTACAAACAAATGCACAAAGACATGATACCCTTACCACAATGTTGTTTAGGGTAAAAAATACTAAAGAAAATATCCATAACAAGTTAAAAAGCAATAACTTCGGCCGGGCTGAACTTTGAATACCCTCCACCATTTGGAACAAATTTAGAAATTATCAAAAAATAAAATCCGTTAAAAATTCTGTTAAAATCTTAAAAATGGCAAATATAGCCGTTGTATTGGGATCTATACGACGTGAACGCATTGTTTGTCATAAGGCGTTACCATATTCAAATTCGAAACTAGAAATAAACGGTAAATAATGTAGCTAGGGAGGTACCGTTATATCGGAGCTATACGAAGACCTGGACCTGCATAGACAATTTTCTGTCAGAGCATCCATTACGAACTTCAAATACGACATCTCAAACAATTTCGGTGAGTATTGTACCTAAAATCGTCAAAATACCGAATATAGGGAAGTACAAATATATGGGGCCTATACGAAGACCTGGACCTGCATAGACAATTTTCTGTCACAGACAATAGTTCCCATTACGAACTCTAAATAGGTAATTTTAAACTACTCTGGTGAATAATGACGCTAAAATCATCAAAATACCGAATATTGGGAGGTACCGTTATTTGGGGGCTATACAAAGACGTGGTCCTGCATAGACAATTTTATGTCATAAACTTTAGTATCCATTACGAACTTCTAATACCAAATTTGAAACAATTCCGGTGAATAATTTCGGTAAAATCATGAAAATACCGAATATAGGGAGGTACCGTTATATGAGACGCGGACCTGCACAAACAATTTTCTGTCTTAGGCTGTAGTATCTATTATGAACTTCAAATACCAAATTAGAAACAATGCTAAATCATCGAAATATCAAATATAGGGAGGTACCGTTACATGGGGGCTATACGAAGACGTGGACCTGCACAGACAATTTTCTGTCATAGGCTGTAGTATATATTACGAACTTCAAATACCAAATTATAAATAGTTCCAGTGAATAATTTCGGGTAAATCACTAAAATACCGAAAATATGGAGGTACCAACGTTGACCTACATGGCCCATTTACGAATTTTACTTGCATACTCGCAAAATAAACATGTGTGCAAAATTTAAGCCTTCTATCTCAATTCGTTCGAAAGATAGTGTGATTACAACAGACAGACGGACATCGCTAAATCGACTTAGAATTTTACGCTGATCAAGAATATATATACTTAGGGTCTGACATGAGTATTTCGAGGACAAAGTTAATATACCCTCCATAGTATGGTGGAGGGTATAAAAATATGTGTAAATTTTCATTATTAACGTGCATAATTGCTTTTATAAAAGTCGTCATAAAAATGACAAAATTAAGGTAAAAATATTTCAAAATAAACATAAAACTATATCACCTAACCGCACATATTCAATATTCAAAGATTTATAAATACACCCCAACTGTAACCTCAAACATTCAAGATTCCTTTTCTGTTCCCTATTTTGTTTTCTTTGTCGGGAATTTCTATATTTTCGAAGTCTTTGCCGAGTATGTCTAGCTTTTACAAGTCGGTAACATTGTAAACAATATAATATATTGTGATATCTGATTGGGAACATTGTTGATGAAAAGACTTTTGTTTTTGGTATCCCTATGAACATGGTATAATTATTAAAATGTCACTTCAAGTTCTCTCTTTAAATAAAATACGCTCCCCATGCATTTCAAAGCTACACACTCAAACTTTTGACCCCTACTGTTCTTCTTGGCTTGCGGATCGTTCTTCTTCTTCTCTCTTATTTTTACAAAAGAAAATTTTTCTGGTATTCTTAATGTTGGTCGTTACTTTTAACTGTAAATTTCTTTTCACTTCACAGATCATCAACAGTCAAGTCAAAACAGAAGAAGAAAAAAAGCAACAACAAGAAAATCAGGAAAGAGATGACGTTTTGAAACGAAACGTAAGACAATAAATTGTAGAAAAAGAAGAAGTTGGCAGCCCATTCAGGAATAGCAGTTTGGAGTATTTTTAAACTGAGTTTTATTTCTTTTAAATTCGGAGGAAGATGAATGGAATTCGAATGTAGGGGGTAAACAATGCAATAAATTTTTGGGAAATCGTATTTTATTAAATGAGTCTATTTTTTGATATATGTGGCCAGCTATGTGTGTAGAAATGCCTATAGTATCATGTTGGTTGATAGATCAGATTCATAGGTAGATATGTTGGGGGGTAAGTTACGTAGACATGTAAGTAGGCAGTTTTAAGTGGTACTTACTTTAGCACTGCACTTGTTGCACGCATGAAAGCGTTTTGCGTGTTGTTGGATTCAGTTGTTGTTTTTGTTGTTATAGAAAAATAACTTTTGATAAGTTACAGGTGGTTGTGGTGGTGGTTGCTGTTGTAAAATCGTAAATAAAAACACTGAATGTCACTATTTTTGCTGATAAAGGGAAGAAATGTTTTAATTTACGGTTCCCAATGGTTCGACTCTGATTATTTGCCAGATGGAACCTGGGGGGGAAACAATGTTTGTCCAATTTCTATTTTTAGTCTTGTGTTATATTTCTAAGCAGGTTTTTAGTTTTACTGACAAGTTTTTTTTTTCTATTTTTGTTCGTTGTATCCACAATTTTCCTCCAGCTTTTCCACAACTTGGAAAATCAAAAAAAAAACGTACAAGTTTCAAGATTTCCGTTTCTCCAACAGGTTGTAGATAATTACCAATGGCTGGCTGAGTGGATGCCAGGCAGAAATGTTCAAGTAACTGGATGTTTGGCTAGCTAGCTTGGATTTTCCCAATCTGTTTTTTTTCGTTTTTGAGCTAATGGAAACTTTCAATATTGATGCAAGTGTTATCTTTTTTTTCTTAATTTTTTGTTGAGCACAATTCACAAGTTGTTGATATCTGTCCGTCGAAAAAATATTTGTTTTTCTTTCAGGCCTTATTTGTTTATTGCACTTTTTTATCTTAATTTGTTTTAAGATGTCATGGAAGAAAACTAGTATCACTGATTTGTTTTGAGGTTTTTTCTAGGATTTTAATTTTTTATTATTGCAAAAATCAAAAGATATTCCTTAAAAATGTTTGTTTAAAAAATCCGCAACTAATGTTTGGGTAAAGTTTTCAATATTTTGCGCCGTCGCTTTAGTCCGAGGTTATCCGTTTAGTCGCGCTCTCCGTTAGATGGCAAGACAGCAACTGGTGATTTGTGGTTTCCACTGTGTGTACGAAAACCTGAACAATCAACCAACCAAGCGGCCAACTAACGAGCGTTTCGACTTTTGTATTTTGTTATTTTTTCAATTCTTCTCCTTCTTTACTACACCTATGCATATATTTTTTGTTTTTGTGAGTATATCTGGTCCCCAATTTCCAATTTTAACAAAAACAACAACCAAGTCAAACCAAATCGTGTTTCTTTTGTTGATTCTGCTTGTCATTCATTCATTCAGTAACAGAAAAAATACACGTAACTCTTGCCACAACTCATTTAACCAGGTGTTTATTGTAACAGTGTTGGTGTTAAAATTACTCTCTCTCGCAACTCTCTTGATTTTTTTCCAAATACATTATCAAGATATTCCATTAAATACCCATGGTGGAGAAAATTTCTCTCTGCTCTCTTTTAGCAGTTAATATCGTGTTCACCTTTATGGTACTTCCATAATGATCCAGAGAAGAAGAGACAGAGAGAACACAAACCCACCAATACTGCCTCATTTACACCTTTACTCACCTGTATTACCCACACTAACTCTCTCTTGCTCCCTCTCCCATGCACCACTTTACTATATCTCTCAAAATACTGTGGAGCATTGAGATGCCTTCACGCATTACCTTTGCTTCGTAATGAATAACCGACGGCTGAAATGGGTTTTGTTTTTTTCTTTTCCTGTGGCATCTATCTCAGTGTACCGTAAACCACTATCTGAATTAATCTGAGATCCAAGATAAACACCTCCAAAAAAAGAGAAAAGAGATTATTTATGACTTACGAGTTCTATGGATAGATATCTGACCGCCTAACGGACTACTACCTGCAAAAAAGAGTCAACAGTTTTATCGGATTAGCAAGGCTTATCCGAGTATTAATGAATTGTTATGTTTTTGCACAATTTTGATGTTTTGAAGCCGAACAAAATATTACATACATTCCAATGGTTTATATAGCTTCTGAGAATTGCTATTTTTAAATGAAGCATAACTTCCGATTAATCGACTCTTTTTATTAAAAAGTCAAAAAGTGGCAATATTTTCACATTGAAGTGACAATTTAAGCTTTGATTTCTTTTAGTCTTATAGGTAAAAATACATAAAACGTTTTTTTGACTGGCTTAAGTCATCAGCTGTCTTCTTCGTAAAAGTACAAAGAAACGTAGGGAAAAAAATTAAATTATGGGTCGAAATCGAACTACGGCAACATAAAACTCCAGCCGATGACTTAATCCTTGTCAAAAACTTGTTCTCAGCATTCTCACCTTCAGACTCCTAGCTTATTTTTAGGGCAAAACTCATGGTATAAACATTACACGTAACTATAACAAATATATAGAGTTATATAAGCACACTTTTAAACGTTCTCAAACCCTATTGCTATCGATGCACTCATTTTTACTAGGGAGTGAAACGTGCTCTAGAGCTGGATTTCTCGAAGAGAGCGAGTTTTATATGGAGTTTACTACTACTCTTTTGGACGAGCTCCCGTGTCACTCCTGTTTGAAAATTAGAGTGGGAGCCGAATAGCTCGAAATAGAGAGAGAGTTTACTCTAAGAGTTTGTTCGCTAGTTTGTGTCTGCGTGTGTGCATAACAGCAAACCGGGTTTGATGTTGCTGTGTACTGTGGCAGAGGTGGGTGTGATCGTCTTCAATATCAAAGAATAGAGTAGAAATAGTAGCAGTAGAAGCAAGGGGCCGGTGGATTTTGGGTACAAAAGCAACAATACTATCATATGCTTTATTGGATCAGATTAGCGACAATGTTTTTCAACGTGTTTAGTTTTGTTTCCATTGCTGCCGTGGTTTCAGAAACTACACATACATAGAACTACAAAAACGGTATGACAAAAACTAATAGAGTGCTCGGCAAGAGTAAAATTAGCTTGTTTCTTAACAAATTTTGCTCAAAAAAGAGCAAATCGTGCTCTACCTTACTCCAGCAAAATCAGAAAAGAGCATTTGGCTCCTTTTGTTTTTCTTAATCCCACTAGTGCTGCCGAGCGAGTTTCACTGTTCTCTTGAATTCGAGCGAGTTTTTCGGATGTCTGATTGCTATATAAACAATTTAACTCATGCACGTTTCGTGTTTTGTTTCACTGTCAAACCTATTTAGCTTGGTATATAATTTAATTGACTTAAAAAGGTTACATGTCCAGCATTTCACTGGCATCGTCTCCCTTTCGATTGCAAAGAAAGTCATAAAAATTGCATATTTGCTGGGCATTTCGATGTCGGTTGCGATAATTTGCGACATTTTGTTGCTACCAATTTGGGATCTTAATTGTATGACATTTCCACAGGATCGAACAATTCCTCACAAGCATCATTGATTTTTTTTTTTGTGCAAAAAATGTGTTCGCTGCGATGTGACATGTGAAAGCAAAATTAATTGGGCGCCATTTTAATCGGAGTCAATGGTTAATTTCAGGCGCTTTAAGTAAAACGAATATTTTGTTGAAAGTGACTTTGACTGCATTCTATGATGAGATTAATGGGTACCTCTTCAAAATATTTTTTAATCGAAATATTTACCTCGCAGGTTATGAGATAAATGCCTTCTTCCTTAAATTTTCAAATGGTAATAATTTTAAAAATGTTAAAGTATAATAACAAGTAAACCAGTAAAGCTAAGTTTGGCCGGATTGAGCTGTTAGTACTTTCCACCATTTGGAAGGAACTTAAAAATGTCAAAAAAATCCGCTCAAAGAAAAACCTTTAAATGGGGGCTATACGAATACGTGGTCCTGCAAAAGTAATTTTTTGTCAAAGGCTGTAGGATCCATTAGGAACTTTAAATACGAAATTTGAAACAATTCCGGTGAAACATGTTGCTATTATCATCAAACTTGAAGCAATTCCCGTGAATAATGTTGCTAATATCATTAAATTACCGAATATAAGGAGGTGCAGTTATATATGGGGTATATGAAGATGTGGACCTACATAGACAATTTTCCGTCATAGGTTGTAGCACCAATTACGAGCTTCAACTGCGAAATTTGAAACGATACCGTTAAAAAATTATGTTAAAAATCATCAAAATACCGAATATCGTGGGGGTACCGTTGTATAGGGGCTATACGATATCATGGACAATTTTCTTCCAGGGGGTTAAGAACTCAGAGGGAACTCCTTGTGTGGATTTTCAGAAAATTCGAATGAAAATGTGGGCATCTGTGACCGATGTGGGCATCTGTGACCGGCTGATCTGTGCAAAATTTTAGCTTTCTATCTTTATTCGTTTTCGTTGACTCTAGCGTTATTACAACAGACGTCGGACAGGGCTAAATTGCCTTTCAGTTCTCCTACCAGGCGTGTCCCCACCGATGAATAGGGAAGATCGATGATCACACTATTTTTCTCCAACTAGGGCGTCATAGTTACGAACTGATTGGAGCGGAATAGTGTGATCACCCGTCTCTGGGGATCTTCAGATTCCCTGCAGATAAAAAACTGACTATGAGAGTGTTTCCTAAAACAAAAAATAAAACATGGAAGAAGAAGAATAAAAAAGTTACACTGCTGGGCCTAAATAACCTAGGGTGCTTGTGATTCAGCCAAGAGTCACACCTCGCCATTATTAAAAAATTGTGAGCAAATTTCTCCCGGAGATGTGGGGAGTATTGCTACGTTCGACCCAGCCTTCAACGACAAGTAGTACCTCAGACTCCCAATCTGACAGCAGTAGAAAAAATCCTACCGGAGAAGGAAGAAAAAGTGAGCGACAGATTGACGAAGCTCACAACTAATACGAAAATTGTCTGGGGCTCAACGGAATGCTAAGGAAGCAACAGACGAGAAAAAATGCAGAGTCGCAAGGATGCTCCAAAGGGGGCTACGAGTACCCTCTTCCCTTAATGTCAGGAAAGAGGATCAAGTCCCAGAACCTTGCGAACCCGCCGAAAAAGAAAAAGGAGCTTCCCAACTACAAGTACTCCGGGAAAACCCAGTCAAGAACCCCGCAAAGAAGACTGTAATAAAAATTCTTTAATCGAGGGCGACGAAGTTAGCTCAAATTTGGTAGGTAGTTAGATTGCCAGTTTGTGTTCCCAGAGTTTAGAAACCATCCATGCAAGGCACCAAATTTAGGTATAGCTTCATATTTAAAAGGCCAAAATTGTTGAATTTTATAACCACTTTTTCAAAAGGCGATAAGTGTTGGTGAACTTTTCGATACAGACCCAATATAACATTAAATCCTCATATTCGATATTTTATAAGCTTTGACTATGCCTTTTAATATTGTCTTTGTGCATATTTTTGTAACATGCACTTCAGATGAATGATATTTGGTACCGGACATCAGATACTGGTCGAAAATTCCGCTATGATATATTATCGAGATCGGTTCAGATTAGGATATAGCTTCCATATATATGTTTCATCCGATTTGGTTTTGAAGTCCCTCAAGTTCGTACAGCCCAGAAATACCTCAGCCAAACTTTATGGAGATTGGTTCAGGTTTGGATAAAGCTCCCATATATACCTTCAACCGATTTCGTGTTTATTGTGCAAATAAGGGCTAAAATCAGCACAAATGGAGTTAATTTCAGGACGTACATTTTCATTTGGTGGAACTCGGCTCCGATATACATATTTTTAATACAATCCTTTTCCAAGTTATAGCAATGTTATTTGGTATTAAAGATAAAAGTGTATCCGTCAGATTTAGTGAAAATCGATTCAGAATTGGATATATTAGTTCCCTCTGAAACCAAATGATATCTGCTCTAAAGCCAAATGTTGGTAGGTGGTATGATCTACTTGATTGTTACGGGAGCTCTACTAAATACCCGCCGAAATTTAACTTTTCCTTACTGTTTTTTTTTTTTTTTGTTCTTGTTTCAGGAATTGAAATGTGGGAAAATACTACCTTTAATACCGGAAACAATGACTATTAGCACAACAACAATATAACCATTTGTCAAGTCATTTGAAAGAGCTCAAGTAACATTTTTCACTGTTGCATGATGACACAAATTAAATTGAAATCAAACAGTCAGTTACCGGTCTTTTCATACGGCCTATGAAAACAATAACCAAGAGATACCTATATTTTTCAAATATAAACCATTAAGAAAACAACAACATTCTATGGGCCACAATGAGAATGAGAAAACTAAACTACCAACAATGACAGCCAAGTTCTGCTCTCCTCCATAGTACTCAGGAACAGTGAGAGAGTCCAACAGAAAAGGGGAGATCATAACAAAAAGGGACAGCCATTAATGTTGTTTTGTTACCTGAGTACAGAGAAATGATTTTAACACACATACACACACTTTGACAAAGTTAAGAAGAAGCATGCACGAAATGTTGGGAAAACAGACAGACTGATCGAAAACATCATCATCGCCATCAAGAGCGGCAAATGGTTATAATAAAGACAACAACACCAATGTTACATACAAACAAGTGTGGTATGTATGTATTAACTTTTTTAAACTGTTATTAACCCCTCACTTGCAGCACGGCACAATGGTGGCTCACCGTATGACTGGATACCCCCAGACATGCCATCAACAAACCAAGCAACCAACCATCCATAGCCACAAGCACGCAACCTGATGCATTCCCATAATCGTGGAGAACAACCGATATACCCTGCATTCTCATTTGCCATGCTTACTGCCACCGCCACTGCTGCTGCTGACAACAACAAATAATTCGAATTCTCTTTTGGGCTGGCAAAAAGACAAACACAAACAACAAATTAACTGCCTACATTCATACCTGTTCATTTGGTCGTCTCTCCCCTGGGGTGTTTCGTCTTCGGTAATAGCAGATTGTTGACGTTGTTGTTTTTGTTGGCTTATAATTTTGTACAATGACGATCATAAACCTGGGTTGCACTTGTAGATCCTCTTAATTAAAGGTTTCTTAGGAAAAAACCTTAATTCGTTTGTTTTGTTGTTGACTTTTTTTTTACAATTCTTCTTTTCTTTAACTTGTTGTACAATAACAAGTGGATTGGATCTTTTCACTTCTATTTTGGTTGAACACAATTTTCACCACATTTTTGTTTCTTTTTGGCAAACAAATTCCAACACAATTTGGTTTTCTCCTATAGCCACTACAGAATTTATTTCAAATTGATTTTAGTAATCCGATATAATTCTATATATCAAAAACCCGTCAGCATGCAATATTTAAACGTTTTCTCTATTTTTTGTTTTTTTTTTCTGTGTTTCTTCTATACACGATGTTTAGATTTGTTAAAAAGCCCAACACTTGGTGACTTGATAACTCCACGAACTCTCTTCAATAACTGAACACTGAGTGCGAGAGAAATCATTAACCAACCAAATCGTTTAACGTTTACCTTTCAAGCGGCTACTACTACCCACAACAATATCTACCTGTTGAAGTACTCACACACAAACATTGTGAAAACGTATTTGAAAAGCTAGTAGAGACATTGAAAATGTGCGTTATCGAGATAAGAAAATATCAAGAGAGAGAGAGAGAGAGAGACACTAGAGAAGAGTTCCAATTGAACTCTCTCCTTATAATAATGCATTTTTCAATTGCACACTCTCTTCTTATCAACAGGTGTAGTGGGAAATAGGTAAGTGTTGTACAATTTTCGCCGGTGTTTTGTTTATCTCACAAAATATCACAACTAGTGTTGCCAACCTTAGATTTTGATCAAGATAAATTTGTTGTTGTTTCTCATAATGGTATGTTTACATAAGGACTTTTTGCCAGATTAACATTATTAACAACTTGGTAGTTTAAATCTACTGGGCTTATTAAATCCGGTAAACTATAAACATGCTATAAGTCAGGATACAATAATTTCCGTCATTATACTCTCAGCCATATGGCTAGCGAGTGTATATATATCATTAGATACGGCACAAACGTGCCTCATCTAAATAACGGTTTTATATATCATTGGATACGGCATAAATGTGCCTCATTTAAATAACGGTTTTAGACCCTAGGTCTCTTTGGACCAAATCCGTTTCAGGACATTCGGAGTCGATCTTGCGATGCCCGTCCGTCCGTCTGTCTGTCTGGCGCGCGATAACTCTCGAAGGGAGTATACGATTTAATTCAAACTTGGTACATCGTAATATTATTATCAAACTTAGATCCAATTCGGAGATAAGCAATATCGATTCACTCCTTCTGGTACCTCCCACACAAAATGTCGACATTTTCAAAGAAAATAATTTACTGCACAGAAAGTGAAAGGATAATCCGATATTGCTTCATCTTTGCAAATCATAATATTTGCATCAGTGCTAGGTCGGGTGGACAATATCGGTCCGCTCCATGAAGTACCTCCCCCACCAAGGGTCAAAATTTTTAAACAATTATAACTCTTATAAAATGTAATGTAATAATCCGATTGTTTTCATATTTCATATATCCCAATATTTTTATCAACCCAAGATCTGTTGTTAAGATGGGATATATCGGTCCGCTTCTTCTGGTACCTCCCCCAGAAAGGGTCAAAAATTTGAATATCCATGAAGTTTATAAAACGCTAAATTAACTACCGATTCCATTCAGACTTGGTACATCTCAATATTTTCATGAATACAAGATATGTTATAAAGATGGTAGAGATCGGTCCATTCCTTCTGGTACCTCCCACACAAAGAGCCAATGTTTTGAATAACCAAAACGATCGTAAAATCCGAAAGAAGCATCCAGTTCTGTTCAAATTACACACATTAAAATATTTTTATTAACCACTCCTTCTGGTACCTCCTCCACAAAATGTCAACATTTTGAGTGTCCATGAAGCTTATAAAATGCGAAATTATCATCCAATTCCATTCAGACTTGGTACATCTGAATATTTCTACCAACACAGGATCGGTTATAAAGACGCTAGAGATCGGATCATTCCTTCTGGTACCTCCCCCATACAGGGTTAAAGATTTTGAAAATCAAAACGCTCAAAAAAGCGAAGTAAGCATTCAGTTCTCTTCAAATTACACACATCTCAATATTTTTAATAACCCAAGGTCTGGTGTGAAGATGGAATATATCGGTCCGCTTCGTCTGGTACCTCCCCCGCAAAGGGTCAACATTTTGAATATCCATGAAGTTCATAAAACGCGAAATTAACATAGATTCCACCCAAACTTGGCACATTTCAATATTTCTAAAGCACAAGAACTGTTATAAAGTTGTTAGAGATCGAACCATTCCTTCTGGTACCTCCCCCACATAGGGTTAAAGATTTTGAAAATCAAAACGCTCAAAGAAAGCGAACTAAGCATCAAACTCTCTTCAAATTTCACACATACAAACATTTTTGAGAACCCCTTCTGGTACCTATCTAAATATCATCTAAATATTTCTCTTAGCCAGAAATCTGATATGAATATGTTATTTATCGAAATTTATGATTTCGCATAATATCAAGCCTTTAGAGGTTATAAAAGTCAAAAAAACTCATTAACGTCATAAGTCGTTTAAGATTTGATTGGGAAATGGTTGAATTTTGTTTCGAAGTATAAAGTCGACAATATCGCGGCTTGTTTTGCTAATACTTCGAATTAGTCTTTATTCCCGTCGAATTGGTCTTAATTTAATTGTCGGAAATTGTCAGTGTAAGAATTCAATTTGATACAGGATCCATATTGCAGGTGTTGTGAGTGGCTCAAATTTAAAATCGACTGGAGAACAAATTTAACGAAGGTGAATCTTGTTGTTTATGACCTCTCGTTTAAAATGCCATTAATATAGAGTGCATGACTTTTGACTTTAAGAATGCTTTAATATAAATTTGGGTGGACCACCTTAACTGTATCTGACACACATCCAAAAAATACGACCTCTATTTTGATTACAAAAATGGTATAGAGTTTAAAAGTAAAGAGGACATTATGGGATTCAAATGTTAATTGATCTCCTAAAAATATGCAATAAAAGTTAAATATGTATTAAAATGTAATTGCTCTATGACTAATATTTGATCTGTTCCAGATATGGCAGAATGTACAAGTTTTCACAACGTAATAAATGTTAAATGTCAATTTCTTAGCGTATATGTCAAATACTATCCACTGGATTTATGAATACGATTTACGCTATGAAGTTGGCATTTCAAATCGAGTGGATTTTGTAGTCTAAACATATTCTAAGCATAAACAACTAACCGAAGCCTTATTTTGTTCTAAAAACACTCTCACGACCGGATTAATTTTAAACCCGGTTTAGAATCTAAATACTTACGGAAATCATACAGCACTCATATACGTAAACACACATCAGCAAAGCTGAGAAATTCACTATTAAAGTTTCGTTATTTCGTTTAAAACATTTTGGAAACGCCTAAAAGCATGCTATAAAAACTGTGGAAATAATTTTGCGTAGAGCAGTAGGATTCTCTTAACCCGCTTTTGAAAACTCGGTCAAATGTAAAATAAAAACTTTTATAAAGGAAGGAAATTATAAAGAAAATCTTCTTCATTTCAAATTTTCACAGGAGAGCTCATCTCGAAAGAGAAATTAGTAAAACAAGAAATTATATGATTTTTATTGGTAAAGTTTATTATTTGTGTAAAATATTCAATACATTATAAAATTTAATTAAACGAACTATAAAAAAGTGCACAATAAACACAAAACATAAGTGTAAGCGGTATAATGGCAAATAAAAATAATAATAATAGTAGTTGTTGTCTTTTTACAATATAATTTCATTTTTAAAACTACGACTCAGCTCTTTGTGCGGCAAAACAATGCTATTTAAAAGTATCTTTTCCGAAGGAACTTGCACGAAACATCCTGAAAATAAAAAAAAGAAACAAGGAAATAGTCATTTAAGTGGAGAACAATAATAATTAATTAAAAATTATACAACTTTGCATTTTTTTGGGATATTTTACACATATACGAGTTATATGTACTTTATCACTTTTAATGTGTTATTCAATGTATATTACATTACATTCCGATATGCTATAAAATTAACATAAAATTGAAAAAAAGAATAACAAGTATTCAAAATTTAGGGCAACACCCGCATTTAAATTTAATAATTATTATAGGAATTTTTAATACCATATTTTTTATGTATAAACAACTACGCAACAAAAATGTTGATAAAGAACATGTTTAACTTTTCTAACCTTGAATATAGCCATGAAAGAGGATTAATTATTATGAGTTTATATGTGCAGAATATAACTTAGTAATTTCGAATAATCGGCTATATACAATGCTACCACACATATATATTTAGAAAAGTCGAAATTAAATTTCTCTTATTTAAAAAAAAGAACAAAGAAAAGAAAAATGTAACATTTTAGAAGGTACATAATTGTAACTTGGTTGGATTAGGGAAAGTTTAAACATCCAAAAGTTGAGTTGCAGAAAAAATGTGATTATGGCCGTATTCCGAGTACGAGTATGAACCTTTGTCAAACCTGTATATGACAAAAAGATTACATATTTTCAAAATATATGACAGTTTTTCAAAATCGACATATCATCCTATCGGAAGCTGGCAGTCATGCTACTATTTTCAATTTTACCCATTTGGCTAGAAAAACCTTTAAAATGTAGAACTCCTTCGTTTTGTTTTGCCGTAAAATTGGCTACAAGTATAAATAATTCCACGATCATAAGAACAATTTTATGTTAAAAATGGTCGAAAATGGAAATGTATTTCGTCGATCTTGGACATTCTGGAACGGAGCTATATCATATTATCAGCTTTTTATTTAGCCAACGAGATTCCCTTACCAGTAGACGGAGTTTGAGTTGTTACGTTAAAGCTTTGCAATAGCTTCAAATAAGCTTATTGCGACACAAACATGAAAGGAATTTGCCACGACATTCAGAACTATCATGCACAACAGTCCACCTTGGTCACCTCCCTTGAAAACTCGGCTTTACATCAACAAGTTAAAAAGTATCAGTCGGTTTTGCCGACAGATGTATACCCTCAGCCAATGTTCTATTATTTAAATATATTTTAACTTCTTTTATGATTATTCAAATGTTTGAACCTCTATGAAGTAGGTTCCGAAGGAATGGGTCAATATTGTCAATTTCGTATCGAATCTAAATAAATATGATATAAATATTGCGACGTTCCAGGTTTGAACAATATTGGTTATTTCCTTCACTTTATATGAGATATGTTATTATTTTTAGAAAATGTTAAAATGTGCGTGAGGTGCCAGATGTATAGTCAACCTAAGTATTCCATTTTTACAATTCATCCAATACAATAAAAAATATTGGTATGGGCAAAATTACAAGAAAATCGAACGTTTATATCTAATTTTATGCGAAATCATAAATTCCATATACATCTCAGCTTTCTGGTTGAGAGAATATTTAGATATATCAAGTTGTAAAGAATCACCCTTTGTGGTTCCGGTACCATCAGAGGTTCGCAGATATACAGGGTGAGATGAAAAAACTGTAACCATCTTCAGACTGCTGTCATTCCACTCGTCCGACAACTGTTAAAATTATTCCAGTGACAGCTCATTATATTGTTTACAAGCGTACAAAAGCATTTTGGTGAGAATTTTTCAGAAAAATAGTTATTCGTGATAGAATTCAAGCGTGATATGTGATTACTTTATATTTGGCTGGAAAACCATATGTGGCTATCATTAGCATTTAAATGTTAATAAATCCGCGTCGCAGTGGTCGAAAAATGGCTTGTGAGCTGAATATATCGCAATATTCCATTCGGCAAAAATTTAAAAAATGAGCTCGGGGTTAAGCCATTGAAATTCCAAAAAGTGCGAGAACTTTTACCGCAACAGAAAGAAAATGGACTCAAAAGAGCTAAAGAGGTCAGCTGAAATTGTGCACCTTCGGTTGGCCACCAGAACTCAAGCGCCGGCCATGGTGATGGTGTGGGCCGCCATAACAGCCGATGGTCGCTCTTCGCTCGTATTAATCGACCGTGGCATATGCCGAATATTATCGCGAAAATATTCTAGAGGGTGTATTAAAACCTTGGGCAAGCGAACATTTTGGCCGCAGACCTTGGACATTACAACAGGACTCAACACCATCACACTCAGCACGCGCCACCAAAGAATGGTTACAAAATGAGGTTCCTCGCTTCATTGGCAGTGCACAATGGCCACCAAAATTTCCGAATACCAATCCGTTGGAATATTGTGTGTGGAGTATTTTAGAAAGCAAGGTTGGTACTTGAAATACCAAAGTATCGATCACCTCAAGCAAGCGATTCGCCGGGAATGGCCCAAAATACCGCAGAGCAGCGTGCAAAGGTTTCATTGGCCGTTTGAAGGCCAAAATTCGTGCCAAAGGCGGCCACTTCGGACAAATCTAAACTTATTCTAAAATTTGATGCTATTTTCTACATTTTTTGATTTCATTCACTAAAATTAAAAAAAAAATGTAAAATTATAGCGTTTGACTTTGTTGCAGTTTTTTTTTTATCTCACCATATACTTATCAGGTTTCTGGTTGAGAGATTATTTACAGCTAAATAGGGGTTTATAGATATATATCATTTTTACAACAGGTCTTGTGTTAGAAAAACTGTTTCTATGTGTAAAATTCGCTTTCTTTGGGGGAGGTAACAGAAGAAATGGTGCGATCTCTACCATCTTTATAACAGGTCTTGTGTTGATGGAATGCATGTTTGAATAAAATTGGATGCAAATTTCGCGTTTTGTGAGCTTCTTGGATATCCAAAATATTGACCCTTTGTGGGGGAGAAGGAGTGGACCGATACATCCGATGTTCACAGCAGATCTTATGTTAGTAGAAATGATGGAATGTGTGAATTATGAATAGAACCGGATGCTTATTTCGAATTTAATAATCATTTTGGAATGGAATATCAGAAGGAATGGTTCGATCTCTACCATCTTTATAAAAGATCTTGTGCTGATAGCAATATTGAAATGTGTGAAGTCTGAATTGAATTGGATGTTAATGTTTTTATGACCTTTATGGATATTGAAAATGTTGACACTCTTTTGGGGGAGGTAGCAGAAGTAGTGGACCGATATATTCCATCTTCACACCAGTCCTTGGGTTAATAAAAATATTGTGATGTGTGTAATTTGAAGACAATCGTACGTTTACATCACATTTTATAACAGTTATAAATATTTAAAATGTTGATCCTTTGTGGGAGCGGTACTTAATGGAGTGGACTGATATTGTTCATTTTCGCACCTGACGAAGCACTGATGCAAATATTACGATTTGCAAAGTTGGAACAAAATCGGATTATCTTTTTGTGCAGTATTTTTTTTTTAAAATTTCGACCGATATTTCCCTTCTTCGATCTCGATCTAAGTTTGACAATAATATTACGATGTACCAAGTTTGAACCAAATCGGATACTACCAGGCAGCCAGATAGACGGACGGACATCGTTAGATCGACTCTAAATTTTCTGAAACGGATTTGCTCTTAAGAGACATAGGGTCTATAATCGTTATTTCGATGAGACACGTTTTGACCTTATCAAATGATACACATTTTCTAGCTATATGGCTGAGGGTATAAAAAGCTACATATAATACCAAAGCATATTAAATATAAGAAATCTTTGTTGATAGAAAAAATTGTAAAAGCGTTCATTCTTTGCTATAGATTCCACATTACAGAGATTCTTCAATCCGATTTCATAGAAGTTAATTTATATTACTTTATACTATCACTCACCTAAAATGGTTATTGAGGGATTCAATTTACCCTCCTTGTTAAACAATGGTGGATTTTCCATTTTTGCAAATGGTTTATTTGGATCCGGATCGCTGGGTGTACCCTCAACACGTGACCATTGGCCAATTGTTGAACCACGGCCAACTAAAATAAAGATAAAAGAATATGTACACAACAAACTAATTAGCTTCATTCGTATATGACTCACCAATCGAATGTAATATCAAGGTGTGATCTTTAATAATGGCATTTTCCAAAATAATTGATTCACGTATTCTAACACCAGGACCGATTGAAACACCTGGGCCAATTGAAACATTCGGCCCCAACTAAAATAAGAAAAATGTGTTTTATTACACAAATTTTCAATAAAGAAAACTCGTTTTTATCTTATCTTACCACAGCTGTATGATGAACGGTGGCACTGGGATGTATGTGTACATCTGGATATATTGTACATATAAGATTTCCATCACCTTCAGCCTGTTTCACGCCGGCATTTGCCAAACGCTCTGGGTGGGTTTTTCTATATAATTCTGCAAGTAGATAATTGTGTGTTTTAGGTAAGGCATGTTTGGTTTAATAAAAGCTAATATACGTCATTAAGTTAGTAATCAATCAGCTGAAAGACTGTAGAATTGTATTTACTCTATGTAAATACCAGGACAAATCGTAGTTCTCCCAACCATGCCTTGCCTTTTCCTGATAAACAATAATTTGTAACTAACGACGAATCATTGTTCAAAATGAGAATCGAATGTATAAACGGATTCTTTAGGTTAAATGCTTTCGTAGTTGTTCACCCCGACTTACAAATTTTAGGAAGCAAGTTAGAATATTTTTTAATTTGTTGTAATCAATATAGAAGCAGTATCCCCAACTCTCAACATGATATGTTACAAAATTCTTTTTCCTAAATTCAGTGTCTTACCTAAATAATGACGATTAGCATAAATCGCTGAACCAGCTGTCTTCAATTGTGACCACCAATTTGGCACTGGCATTGCATACAACTTATCCGTACCGGCCAATGGTGTCAAGACCTCCTGCTCCCACTGTATGTGACCCTGATCTTTACCATTGCCATTGCTGCCAACAATTCCCACATAATTTGTTCCATTATATTCCTGAACTCTGGAGTGGAATATCTCCGCCAATTTACCAAATATGTCCATGGAACAGACATAGACACCACAATTGATAAATGTCGATACATATGAACTTGGCTTCTCCACATAATGGGAAACTGCACCAGTTTCACGATCAAATACCAAACAACCATAGTGTACAGCTTGCTGACGTGTTGCTTCTGTACTCATAATTGTTACTAAAGCTGAATCCGGACACTGCCGATGAAAGTTGTAAAGCTCCTGCAGTGGGAAATCGGCACAGACATCACCGTTTAGAACAAAGAATGCCTTTGGATTACCAGCCCTGATTTGATCGCGGAAATGATACATGCCTCCCGCCGTACCCAATGAGGTGAACTCTTGTAAGTATCGGATATTTATGCTATACAAGTTCTGCATGTCAGCCACAAAGTTCTCCATTTGGGTTTGTGGATAATAGCCAATGATGAGAATTTCTTTCAGTTCCGGTAGTCGCAAACATGCCTCTATGTGGTGCTGAATAATTGGACGTCCGGCTACTGGAAATAGCGGCTTAGGTGTGTCCAGAGACAAAGGACGAAAACGAGTACCTAAAACAACAAAATATTTGTAATGTATGTCTTTGAGTGTCTGGCACTGGAGAATATTTACCTTTTTGTGGCCCTCCAACGAGTATTACAGCCTTAATCATTTCTATATCTTCTGCCTTCTTTTCTAAGAATAGGGTGAAATATTTGTGCTTCTCAGATACGTGGTATTAAATTAAATATGGCAACACTGAAAAGAAAGACAGCACAGAGAGAAAATCGAAATAAAGATGGAATCAAAAGGGAAAGGCGGACAACACAAAAGGAATCAAAACAAAACGGCCGACAACACAGCAACAGATGTTTATTTATTTGTTTTGATTTGTGACGAGTAGGGATATGTAAGTCGACTAACGATTTATCGGTTTAAAAGCACGGTGCACACTGGCGAATACGTATGACTGTCCTTGTTGTTCTTTAAGCCCGCGTTCACACAAGACAATCGAGTTTGTGCATGGCACAAGGACAGCGTTTTGCAGCAAATTTTGCAAATCAGATTAAATTTGTTTTTTAGGACTAAAAGGTTTTTACCACATTTGGTCAACAAAGCCTTCTCACTTTCTCACTCATCCTTTAAAAACAAATGGGCTCTACATCTTCATCGAGTTGTGCGTCCCCTTTGGAAACATTTAAACCACGAATTTGTAAGAGTGGAAAACTCCCCAAACGGGAGTTTTGAACATACACAAATCAGAGATGGGAACATATTTTCTTTGCAGTGAAATTTGACAAGGTAAATTACAGAAAATGCCGAGATGGGAATGCTTATTTGAAATGACTTTACCTTCTTAATTTTACCATGGTTTATCATTTGTACTGTCTTTTGCAATGTATTTAGAAATTGGATGGGCCTGATAGACGACCATAGAATTGGTCCATGAATTCATGCATCAATTGTAATAATAAAATTTTTTGTCCCCAGCTAAATTGAAGTTAGGTTAGATTAAAGATTTTGCCGGTGAAATACAACAACCACCCCACTCGGAGATCTGCTGGTTCATTGTGTTCATCGTAAAATTTAGAGAAAAATAGATCGAGAGAGACAGAAGAAGAAAAAGATAGAGAGAAATGATATTTGATCCACGAAGAGATTAAGGTGTAGTCTTTAGCCACTTTAGACCATGGTACAATGAAGAGAAGGTAGGCATTTAGCCAGTTTTGTTAAAATTTCCCTGATGTTTATGACTCACTTGGAAAAAGTGACACAAGTGTGGCTTCACCGATTTTTCGATCCCCAGATCGATTGACTCGGATGCACGTCTTGCCAATTCATCTACTTGGAACCACCTGGAACCAAACAAAGCTTAATGCACGAATTAACTTTTTCCAGAGCATTCCTACAATTGCAAACTGCCAAAAATTTAATGGTACATCAATTTATTGCTTTCAGGGCCGGTTGACTATCGACATATACAAAGACCTAAAATGGTAAAGACTAGACAAAATGCATTTTGAGCAAATGGTTTGTGTCTACAATACATAGAGTAACAGCTCATGGCAGAGACATGTTAATATAAAAACCACAGTTACAGAAACGAATAACCAATAAAAATTTGAAAAATCCAAAATTTTGGTTTCGAAATTTTATTCCATAGACCTTTCCAAAAATTTGCATATTGGTTTAGCGGTTGAAATCAGTTAACATTGGTGACTATGTAGTTATGATATCGTAACAACAGAGGTATTTTCACAGGGTTGCCATGTTTTGACTCTGTCTTGTCCTATCTTTACACTTCTATGTCTTTGACATATATAGTCACCGGTCCGGTCCAGTTCACTGTTTCTGTTTACCAGCAGATCTATGACTTTTTTGATCTCTGCCTGGAATACGCAGTAGTAGTTGTTAAGTTTGAATAAGTTTCTGATCTTCAGACTTTCGTAAAAGAATCCCGCACCAGCTCCACTCTCCATCTTTGAAATATCGGTATAGACGGCTATACCATTAAAAGGTGGACTGTTCTAGATGTTCCTGTTAGGTATATGGATAACCAGTGATTCAAAGTTCATCTAGGTGATATGAAGTCACGGGCTTTGACCCGCCTTCTATGTTTGCCATTTAATCTCTACAAATAGATTCAAAGAATTTAAGTTAAGTAGCGTGACCAGTGCAGATTGGGATCTGCTTCTAAATGCACATTTAGTCAGAAGAGATACTGCTCTTTGAGCTTTATCAATGTTTCTCTTGTAAGATGTTTTCCCTAGCGAGTGTCACCAAACGAGCGTTCCATACGTGAGAGTCGGACGGTCAATTGACTCATATATCCATGTTAAAATATGGCGTTCTACCACACAGCTCTTTCCTGTAGAGGGCAATCGCACGCTCCTCGATATTCCTCCTTCTGGCAAATCTCTGGGAGTATCCACTTGAAGTTATATGATATGTTTGGCATCATGGCATGACACATTAATGTTAAATTATAGACTAATGATGCTGATGCTGCTTATATCAAAATTTAGAAACGAAATATTTCAATATCGGTTGCTAACAGATGTTTGAACAACAGTTTTTGAATAGATTTGAATAGGTTTATTGAATATTTTTCGATGTCGTTATGCATGGGACAGTTTTCTATTCCAATGCACCATTTACAGTTTATAAATCTCTTACAGTGGGTAATGCCATGTTTACGTTAGAACTTTTTGTAGGGTTAACCTACTTTGAGAGGATTTATTTGAAGTAAAAGTAATGGATTTAAATCCAAATCCAGTGGGTTAACACTCATATATATAAACGTACTATAATATTTTTAACATTTTTAACTTCTATATATTGACTCATACTCCTGAAACGGCATAGACGACATCTGCTGATTCGAAATTATTCGATGATAAGCGGTGGGAGCATTTCTTCGTCTATATTTTCATTAGTCTATGATTGCGTTATAATAGGTCACCTAGACTTCCTTATCTACTCTCTCACAGTTGTTTCAAAACTTGTACCCTCTTTGGATTTTATCACAAAAAGCTGGGGTATGTCAGGACGGGTTGAATAGATAAATGTAAGATTTATGGACCTATTCATTCAATAAAAGCCGCCTCTTCGCTACACATGCAAGATACAAGATAAGACAAAATCAAAACATAATCGGGGAAAATTATCATCTCAAGGTTGTTTTTTCTTAATATATTGCTCAGTTTCAGATCCTGCAAGAATTACCCAGTTTACATTTTTTTATTTCATACTATTTCAAAATATTCTTGCAGTTCTGGAACATACATATATTTATTTCCGCAACCGCTGCAAATCTGGATTTTAATTGTAACGAAATTTAAAAAATGAATGTCAATGCATATACAAAAAATGTGCAGATTTTGTCGCTTAACGAGCACTATGAGAAAAATTGTATTGGATTTTAACACGAAAATTAAGAACACCTTGAATTTATAACTATACCGATGTGCAATTGGGAAAGAAATAAAGCAAATCTAAAGCTCGTGTAAACATGTTGTCACATAACCGTTTTTTAAGATTACCAGATGAAAATCGATATTTGCACAATAGAAAACATATCGATACTTCTGCCATCGATTGTTTACCAGCTCTGTTGCACTGAACATACCCACTTGTTCGCCGAGTAGCTCTGCATTTTGTCAAGAAATTTGACATTCTCACGATTTTACTTCAATTTTTCATTTTCAATAGCTCAATCAATATAACCGATGTTGAAAAAATGTAAGTCGCCTCCACTGTAATGTCCTTTGTGAAATGTGTGCGAAATATTTGATGTTATAGCCACACCTTCCGGTTATTGATGCATTACGTTCGTCTTTTTTCTTTTCTTCTTTCGTTTGCAAACTTTGTAGCATTTTGCCATCCATCATAATGGAGCAAACACCGCCTCTCTCACCAGAAGTTATGGTATGTCAGGCCTTGCGAGCCGCTACCGATAGCAATCATGAGGTGGTACGCAAAGCTGAGGCCCAGCTGGTAGAATGGGAAACACAGACAGGGTTCTTTCCAACGTTGACACGTTTGTGTCTGGCCGCAGTAGCCGATCCGAATATTATCCAACAGCTGGATGTCAATGTCCGTTGGATGGCTGTGGTTTATTTGAAGAATGGAATAAATAAATACTGGCGCAAGGGAATGCGTCAGGAATTGTCACCGGAGGAAAAACAGCAAATTCGGGATTTGCTATTGATACATTTCTCGAACGAGCCCATTCCCCAGGTTTCATTGCAGATAGCGGTGCTTATGGCTCGTATTGCACGCATAGACTGTCCCCATGACTGGCCACAATTGATGCCTGAGCTGTTGAAGCGTATACAAGCATTCTCCGCCTCGAACACTGCTGGCTGTGAATCACTTAAAAGCGGAGAACAACAACGGGTACTCTTAACGCTGCATCATGTGATTAAAGCGTTGGCATCACGCCGCCTCTGGGCCGAGAAGAGAGTATTCGAAGAACTGACCAGTAACATCTATGAATTTATCTATCAAATGTGGGACACCTATTGCACACTGTTCTTCCATCAGCTGAAAGATGCCCAACCGATGTTGGCCAAGCCCACATTGGAAATTGCCGTGTTGTGCACCCGCATTCTGAGAAAGCTTACCATTTATGGTTATATGAAACCACAAAACTCACCAGTTTGCTTACAGTTCGCGGAGAAACTGTTTGAACGTTTGAAACAATGCCTGAGTGTTCGTTACGAACTGCGCCAATTGAATGCCGATGAAAATTTGGTTAGCTTGCTGGAAAAGTTAATTTTGAAACAGATGAAAACTTTGTTGGAATTCCAAGAGACACATGCCGTGGCCTTTAAGAATTTTGTGCCCATGGCCCTGCAGTTCACCTTTGACCATGTCTTCCATGTTAGTGCTTATCTAATATTCACCGATAATGTCATCAACTTTCGCCAATTTGCCATACACTGTATCAACTTGATGAAAGGACTTATGTCGCCATTCTATTGGCAAAAAATCGATAAATTCTTGGACAACGACAATAGCCAAGATTTGGAAATACGTTCATCCTTGGAGACTTTCTTTACGGAGGAGCGCTTGAGTTATATTTGTGAGAAGATTATAACACATTATTTTATATTAACACAAATCGAATTGGATTTATGGCTGGAGGATCCCGAAGAGTTTGCCCAGGATGATAGTGGTGGTGATACATGGAAATATGCTTTGAGACCTTGTGTTGAGACGCTATTCTCGGTGTGTGTTACCAACTATCAAGCTCAAATGTCAGCAGAAGTTGTGAAGTATGTACAGAAAGCCCAACAGATTCAGTTGACGGCTGACTCCGATCTTAAAGATATTCTGCTCAAAGATGCCATTTACAATGCGGCGGGGCAGGCATCACTACATTTGTTCAATGAACTAGATTTCGATGCATGGTTTAGTGGCCAACTGTTGAATGAATTGAAAATAGAAGCACTTAATTTTCGTATTTTGAGAAGACGTATTATTTGGTTGCTTGGCGAATGGGCTGGTGTTAATTTCTCACGCAATCTACGACCACTGGCCTATGAGGCGTGCTTACATCTGCTACGACCCGCTGAAGATATGTCCATACGTTTGGCAGCCTCCAGTACATTATCGATTCTAATTTCGGACTTTGATTTTGCTCCCGAAGCCTTCCTACCCTATTTGGAGCCATCGTTTAATGCTCTCTTCATTCTGTTGCGTGAAGCCAAAGAATGTGATACCAAAATGAAAGTGTTGGCTATTATGTCATCTCTGGTCGAGAAAATGAGTGACAACATTGAACCCTATGCCGATAGTTTAATATCATATTTACCCCTGCTATGGAAAGAGAGTGAAGACTACAGCATGCTAAGGTGTGCCATTATTTGCACACTACAGCAAATTGTTAAGGCGATACGTGACATACCGGAGAAAATGCGTCCATTTTTGTATAGTTTGATTGCTTTGAGTACCGATCTGCAGGTAAGAAAGGGTGATGGCGATTACGAATTGGGATGACAACAATAACAATGACGTAATCCGACAGAAAATTAACAATATTTGTTCAATGACTAAAGAAAGATGCCATTCCCAAAAACAAGTTTAGTCAAAGCTGCCATGAGCTGGGGACTTAGCAGCATTGAGATTATACCACCTGAATGTTTTTTTTTTTAACCCAATGAGGAAAATATCAGCAAGATTAAATCGATGTGTTAGGAATAAACATATCGGGACAGCAGGTTTAAAATTTCTATTTTATGCTTTTTTTCTCAAATTGTTAGACAAGCATATTAGGTTGTCTATACAGAAAAAAATTACATTTTAGATTTTAGGAGAAAACGAAATTAAGTTACGCGCCCAACTCAAATCGTAACGTCCAGAGAAAGTCCATAGCTTATAGAATTTCGTTTCCATTAATAATAATAACAGAGTTAGTTCGGCGAGCTTTCGAGAACAACGAAACGATCTAGGAATAACATATCTTAGGTATGAAACATAGCAACATAGTGGGGACCGAAGTGGCTGATGAATTGGAAAATTGCTCTGCGGTATTTTGGCCCATTCCTGGCGAAGCGCTTACTTGAGGTGTTGGACTCTTTATTGCCAACCTTGGTTTCCAAAATACTCCAGACACAATATTCCAACGGATTGGTATTCGGAGGAACCTCGTTTTGTAACCATTCTTGGGTGGCGCGTGCCGAGTGCGATGGTGCTGAGTCTAAAATATTTCGCGATAATATTCGGCATTTATTCTGATGCCATGGTCGATTAATATCGGCGGAGATCGACCATTGACTGTTATGGCGGCCCACACCATCACCATGGCCGGCGCTTGAATTCTGGTGGCCAACCGAAGGTGCACATTTTCAGCTGACCTCTTTGGCAAGTAAACACGATCATTTTGTTTGTTTACAATCTACTGGACAATGAATGTTTTCTCATCGGAGTAAACCAAATTCGAAAGTTCACCACTTTCGGCCATGCGAAGCAACTCTTTAGCTCTTTTGAGTCTATTTTCTTTCTGTGGCGGTGTAAGTTCTTGCACTTTTTGGAAATTCAATGGCTTCACCCCGAGCTCATTTTTCAATATCTGCCGAATGGAATATTGCGATATGTTCAGCTCACGAGCCATTTTTTGGCTACTGCGACACGGGTTTCGATCAAGTCGCTTCTTTACTTTTCGAACCATTTCTGCTGATGTTGCTGTTTTCTTCCGACCACTTCCTTGACGTCGGGCTACGCAGCCAGTATCACGCTAACGAGCGATGGTACGAGACACAAAAGATTCATTCACATTTAAATGCTGGAGTGCTCTAACGATAGCCACTAGTGGTTTTCCAGTTAAATATAAAGAAATCACACTATCACGCTTGAATTCCATCACGAATACTTTTTTTCTGAAAAATTCTCACCAAAATGCTTTTGTACGCTTGTTAACAATATAATGAGCTGTCACTGGAATAATTTAAACAGCTGTCGGACGAGTGGCTTTGAAGTGACAGCAGTCTAAAGTTGGTTGCGGTTTTTTCATCTCATCCTGTAGGTTCTATCAACATCCACAAGTTTGTTAAGAACATTCCCTTGCTATGCAGACTACCGTATTAACTATACTTCTCTCTATAACTATTTCTTCTCTTCCTCGCTTCTATATCTTTCCTATATCCAAATTTTCTTATATCTTCCCAGAATGAACACGATGGAACAAAGGTTTCCCATCCTTAAATCATCAAACAAACCTTGGTATCAAAATGTTTGGTTAGAATATTTTCCAAAGAATTCTTATTGTATTGATTGGTTTTTGTTATTTAGACTATGAAAAATTGAGAAAACCACTACTAAAGTGTTGATGACGCAAATTTCAAACATGCCATCATCAAATGTTTTGGTTTAGAGTTTAGTCTATAAATACAGATGAGTCAGCAAATTCAGTCTCGCACAAAGATTTACATCAATAGTTTAGTTATTTGAACACTTACGCACCTCTTTCGTAGAGTGATACTTATTCATTGTGGAAAAATACCCATCAGTAGTGGTCTGGCCTTGCAAATGTCATGAATGTTATCATCAGATCGCAATGGTTTGATTTGAATCAAAAAAAGCAAGGTTCAAATATACTTATCGAAGTTCAAATCAATCGATGAAAATCTTTCAACACTGCTGTAGCTCCTTATGGTACATGAGAGTAGGGATATTACCCTACACAGCGCCTTCTCCCATAATATTCGTCGATATTGCTTTTCGAATTCTTTTTCTATTGTCCTTTAGCTCTGAATCTAACCAAATAATTCTTCATTTCATTTTACTTTCCAGGAACCCTCTCACATTTATCTCATCGAAGAAGGCCTATCCCTATGGGTAGCTGTTGTCGAAAATTCCACAAGCATTTCGGCACCACTCATCGATCTATGTCGAAATATAATGCCAATAATTGAAATGTCATCGGAAAATCTTCGAACTGTATTGGTGTTAATACAGGCCTATATATTGCTCGATGCCAATGCCTATTTGGAACGATATGGACGTTCATTTGTTGACTTTTGTAATCGTATGTTTGACGACATACGTCCCGAGGGTATAATACTTATGGTAAAAGTATTAGAAATCTGCTTAAAAACGGACACAACAAATGGCCTGGAACTGGTGAGACCAGTTCTGCCCTATATCTTTCGACAAGTGTATAGCAATAAAGACTTCCCCATGCTTATGGGCATGTACCTGACAATGGTAGCCCGTGTCTTGCTCATAAGTCAACAAGTTTTCATGGAAGTCATACAGGAGTTGCAGCAACCAAATGCCTTGGAAACCATTCTAGATGTGTGGATCACGAAAATGCCTTTGGTCACCGAGTTAGAGAAAATCAAGCTATTCTCCCTGGCCTTTTTATCGATATTTTCCAATAATCCCATACTGTTGGAACGTTTTCCCGCCATTATGCAGAATATTGGTGATGCTCTGTTCGAGGTGATGCGTGAAGATGACGATGGTCAGCAGTCACTGACCGATGATCCCAATGCCCCACAAGAAAATAAACCCATTAAATATTGTGATTCGTTGGTGTTTGCCGATGAATATGATTTGGATACCAGTAGTTACTGTACTATGGATGATTTTGATTATAAAACCTATCACTATGATCGTTGTCGGCAGTTGTCTCTAAAGGATCCCGTACATAAGATTGCTTTACCGCAATACATCGAATGGCAGTTGGGAAATTTACGCACCCAACTTGGAGATGAAGGCTATCAGCAGTTAATGCGCACGGTTTATCCAGCCGTTTTGGAAAGATTTTCTCAATTTGTTAATTTACAAATCAATTTTCCCATAAACTAGCAGCACTGAACTCTGGGGTGTTCATTATATTTTACAACCGAGAAAACACCACCACGACACTCCCCACTAAAAATTTTAAGGTCTTCGTCGTGTACAAGAAAGCTACAAACTAAGGGAATCTATACAGTTTCTAATGGTAGCTATGTTAAAGCGTTTGTCTGAGATAGTCATTGGCAAGTTGATTCTAACACCATCTGTTGGTTAATGTATAAGTTACTATTCTAATCAGTTTTTGATACCAATGTAAATTATTTTATGTCATTTTAATTATTATTTTTTAATGCTATAATTTTTTTTTTAAATAATATTACTTACTATATTTGTAGAGTATGTATGTATTTAACAAGATTATGTTTTGATGATGATGATTTTTATAAAAATAAAAAAAAACACAAACAAGGAAAAACCATAAAACGAAAATAATGAATGAAAACAAAAATAACAAGAAAAAAAGGAGTTTTAAAATGTTCTCCTTACACTGCACTTCTAAAATCTAAAATCGAAATTAATTCTTTTTTAAAAAAACAAAATTGTTTTGTTATAATGGATAAATAAAACAATAAAAACAAACTAATTATTGAGTAATGATTTGGAGAGATTTAAGAGTATGGTTTAAACAAAAACCTAAATCAAGACAATAAAAGAAAAATGTCTAATAGAATGGCATAAAATTATAGATACACTGTGCTGCCGCCAATCGGTAGGTGAACATTTTCAGGCATGGTAATAATCTTATGACAGTAGATAGTTGTAGGTTGTCAAGATGAATCTTTATATATAACATTGTTGAAGACAAAAGGATCCTAAGTAACATATGTATGAGAATTGCAGATTTCGATCACTTCTAAAATCGTTGGCGTTAAAAAAGCTATATCTGTTCATGTTTTCGTAGAGGTTGGAATTGTTTTTAGATGTTGGAGATGTGACTGATCAAAAATCAATCCTAATGGAGACTCAAAGGAGAATAAGTCTAAATTAAGACTAACTGAATTAAAATATAAGTACAGGGTGAGAAGTAATAAAACTGCAACCAACTTCAGATTGCTGTCATTTCTAAGCCACTCGTCCGAAAGTTGTAAAAATTATTCCAGTGACAGCTCATTATATTATTTACATGCGTATAAAATTTGGTACGAATTTGGTTTTCTCCGATGAGAAAACATTCGTTGTCCAGTAGTTTGTAACAAACAAAATGATCGTGTTTTCTTGCCAAAGAGGTCAGCTGAACCTTCGGTTGGCCACCAGAAGTCAAGCGCCGGGCAAGGTGATGGTGTGGGCCGCCATAACAGCCGATGGTCGCTCTTCGCTAGTATTAATCGACCGTGGCATCAGAATAAATGCCGAATATTATCGCGAAAATATTCTGGAGGGTGTATTAAAGCCTTTGGCACGCAAACATTTTGGCCGCAGACCTGTTGGAGTGTACAACCAACAGGATCAGCACCATCCTCGCTTCATTTCCAGCGCACAATGACAACCAAAATCTCCGAATACCAATCCGTTGGACTACTGTATCTGGAGTATTTTTGAAAGCACGGCTGACACTAAAAAATACCAAAGTGTCGATCACCTCAAGCAAGCGTTTCGACGGGAATGGGCCAAAATACCGCAGATCAATATTTGAGCAGCGGGCATTTTAAGGCTATAATTCGTGCCAAAGGTGACCAATTCGAACAAATCTAAACTTATTCTAAAATTTGATGCTATTTCCGACATTTTTTGCTTTCATTCAATAAAATTTTAAAAAAATGTAAAGATTATGACGTTTGGCTTTGTTGAGTTTTTTTATCCCACCCTGTAGGTCCACTATATGGTATAGCCCACATACAACCCCCCGATATTCGATATTTTGACGATATTAGGGACATTATTCGCCGAAGCTGTTTCAAATTTCGTATTTAGAATTCGTAATGGGCTCTACAGACTTTTACAAAATATTGCGTATCCAGACCCACGTCTTCGTATAGCCTCCATATAACGGTACCTCCCATTGATTTTTTTAGCGACATTATTCACCGGAGCTGTTTATTATTAGAGTTCGTAATGGGAACTACAGTCTATGCCAATCTATGCAGGACCACGTATTCGTATAGACCCCAATATAACGACTATATTCGGTATTTTTAAGATTTTAACAGAAATTTTAACGGATTTAATTTATTTTTTTTTTCGAAAATTTTCAAATTTTTTTTCCAAATGGTGAAGGATATTCAAAGAATTAAAAATTAAATTAAAATAAAAATTTCAAACAATCTTCGGAGACCTACTGGTCCATTGTGTTCATCCTAAATCATGTTTTAGTAGAGTTAAGGTTCGAATAATTCCAAATAAAAGTCAATTAACTAATACGTTCAGAATTCTTTAAACATCTAAACAAATTCAAGGCAAATTAGAAGTTTTAACTTGCCGCTGTTCGCATGTGTCTACTTTTGGTTAAATTTAAACCGTACCAGGCAAACCTCTTCCCCACAGTAGCAACCCTTGTCCTAACATTTAGTTTAGGGATGTCAAGTGACGAAACCATTTCGATTTCAGAGGTAAATACCCCTTTTGTGACAATGTTAGGTGCTAACCAAAAGGATAATTAAGGAATTTTCCACAATTGTTCATACTTTTTTCTCGAATCCTAATTAACATATCAGACAAGGGGAATAGTTCCTGTATTTTCTATTCTACTTCCAAACAGAAGAAAATTACCTTTTTTCCCCAATGACATCCCTATTTTCCGTTAACGCGCCAATATCTAGTCGAATCCATTGCCATGACAACGTTGAATTTTAGAACTTTTAATCCACCACCCTTCCTGACACAATCAGTTTATATAGACAACAATAAAGGAAAACATATTTATAAATAAAAAATATAAAATCTTTTGCTTAAATATAGAATGTCAACAAATACCACACGCCGTAATGTTATCATAACCGATTTGGATCAATCGGATAATGAACAGCGACAAATGGAGGAGAATCATCGTAAAGCTGTTTACAAGAAACGCTCAAGAGAAAAACAATTACAAACATTGTCAGGAAATTTTACACGACGCTCCCAGAGTGCTGAATGCAAGCCACAGGAAAGACTGACGACAGCAGGAAAGGAAAACACCGGAGGTGGTGATAGGCCAAATAAAAATGTGAAACATGTTAGCTATTTTCATGATTTGGTAAGTTACGAGCACACTTATGAAGTGTTTGGCATCTGCTCCAGCCATGGTTTTTCCCAGGGAGTTGCAATGGTTTCAGTGTTCATTACATTGAGTGGACAACCTATAATATTTTTTGATTCGTGGAGATTTGTATAGACCCTCTGCTGTGTTTTAATAAAACAGTCAAAAGAAGACAAGATAGATACAAGGTCCATATAATGATTTACATGGAATCTCATTCTAAGTCGATTTTTACATGTCCATCCGTCTCTCCATATAATGTTGTAAACAAAGTACAGTAATTATTGCCCAATTAGGATGAAACTTTGCACAGTTCTTTTGTTTTGCTTAAAGGCGAACTCTTTTGAACATGATTTCCTGTTTTTTATAAACCTAATGTGTAATATCAGCCAAAATAGGATGCATTTTGGTGTATATGATCGAATTTTGCTTGGATGCTAGTATGTCAAAGGGAGTTATACTGGATTTTCAAGCAAGACTGATATTGTAGATTGATTTTACCTGGTACATGTTTTTGTATGATGAGTGCTTAAGAAAAACAACATTCCAAATGTTGTTGAAGATGGCCAATTTGATCAATTCGTATCTGACCTAAGACTGATAAAAATATTACAACGTGCCAGATTTGGACAATATCGTCTACTTCCATTATTTTTTTGAGATATTTTCCAAAGTTTTGGGAAATGTGGAAATATGCATGAGTTACCAGATATAGGAGACCGATATAGGAAATAGAACATTTGTATCCAATTTTATACGATATCATAAATTCCGATTAATTATGTATTCATATCAGATTTCTAGCTAAGGGAAATATTTATGTAGAGAAAGTTGTATAGAATCACCGACTTATTTCACAATTATGCAAATATAAATATTAGAAATTGTGACCCTTTGTGGTTGAAGTAACTGAAGGGGTTGGGAGATATCTATCATCTTCACAACAGATTTTGCGTTAGAAAATATGTTTGGATGTGTGAAATTTGAATAGAGTTGGGTGCTTATTTCGCATTTTGTGTTTCAAAATGTTGAACCCTTTGTGGGGGAAGTATCACAAAGAGTGCGTCGATATATCCCACAACAGATCTTGTGTTAGTAAAAATAATTTCTTGTGTGAAACTTGAAGAGAATCTGATGCTTATTTTCGGATATTGTCACCCTTTTGTTTATTAAAAATGTTTACCCCTGGTGTTGGAGGTACCAGAAGAAATGGTCCGATCTCTGCCATCTTTGAAACAGATCTTGCGTTGATAAAAATATTGAGATGAGAATGAAATCGGATGGAAATTTTACGTTTTTTGAGCTTCATGGATGTTCAAAATTTTGAATCTTTGTGGGGGGAGGCACCAGAAGGACTGGGCCGATACATCCCAACCTCACAGCAGATCTTGTGCTAGTAGAAATAATGGCATGTGTAAAATTTGAAGAGAACCGGATGCTTATTTTGGATTTAATAATTGTTTTTGTTATTCAAAACTTTGACCGTTTGTGGGGGAGGTACCAGAAGGAATGATTTGATCTCTACAATCTTTATAACTTTATAACCATCTTCTGTTGATAGAAATATTGAGCTGTGCCAAGTCTGAATAGAATAGGATATTAATTTCGCGTCTTATTAGCTTCATAAATATTCAAAATTTTGGTCGTTTGTGGAGGAGGTATATTCCATCTTCACACCAGACCTCGGGTTAATAAACATTGTGATGTATGTAATTTGTAGATAATCGGACTCTTACATCACATTTTATAAGGGATATATTTATTCAAAATTTCGACCTTTTTTGGGGGAGGTACCAGAAGGAATGGACCGAAGCTTATCTCCGAATCCAATCTATGTTTTATAATAATATTAGGATGTACCAAGTTTGCACCAAATCGGATACTCCCTTCGAGAGTTATCGTGCGCACAGGCCAGCCAGACAGACGGACATCGCTAGATCAACTTCAAATGTCCTGAAACGGATTTGGTCCAAAGAGACCTAGGGTCTAAAACCATTATGTTGATTAGGGACGTTTTCGAATTCGTTTTCGTATAGTCCATGGCCCATATAAGGTCGGCCAAGAAGACCTTATATAGACCTTGGTATTGTTATACAATAACATGCTCTTATTTTTCATACTGTGGGATGTATTCCGCTAAGCGTCGTATTAAAGGCTACCGTTTAAATGTTGAACCAAAGTTTTACATTAAGATCCATTTGAAGAAATATTTAGCAAGATTTAGAATGTTGTACATTCTCTCAATTCAAATAATATCCTCCTTTTTTCAAGCTCCAGTCAAAGGATCAACAAATGGAAAAACTCCTTCAACGTTTGGCAACAGTGCATAAATTTAATGAACAATTTGCCGATGAAAATCAACGTCTTCTCAACGAGGCCAAAACGCTGCAACAACACATATCCCATTTACAACAACAAATAGCCAATTGTGACAAATGTCAACGTCTGGAAAACGATCTGAGGAAAAGTGAAGAGGATAATCGTTTATTGTCTGCCGATGTAAATATGATGAAGACCCTAGTCTACCGTTTAAATGTACAAATTGAACGTTATCAAGATGCACTGCGCCAAACGAAATTAGCTTCCGAGGAAACTGCAAAGACTGTAACCACCTCCGATCCAACGAAATCTTCTTCCATTTCTCAGTGGCAAGAGGAGCCAATACGCAATCATACATTGGCGCCTCTTTTACAGTCGTATGATGAAATGATACGAGACAAAGAAGATTTAATCCAGCAATATACTCAAGAATTTGAACACTTTACCGGCGAATTGAAAACCGTTTTGGAGGAGAATAATCGGCTACAGCAACAGGTGGACTCGCTTAAAAGAGATGGCGGCAATTGGCGTGAAGAACGTGCACGACTTCAGGCCCAGCTAGATATTTGCCGGCAAAAGGCTGAAGCCCAAACGCGCAAAACCGATTTGGCCAAAGAGAAACTTGTGGAAGTAATGCATTGTTATGAGCAGAAAATACAAACATTGGTCCTGGACATGGAACATTTACAAAATGCCTACACAAGATGTAAAGCCGAATTGGTGTCTCTAAAAAGTATAGCTGCCCTTCCCCAAGATACCATTGCAAATTCCCTCAAAGAATGCAAAGAACTCTTGGAACAACTACGACAACAACACAGTAAAGAGAAATATTCGCTGGAGCGAACAATTGGTGAGTTAACCGAACGACATGCTGGCGTCGATCATCAAGTGCAAAAACTGAGAGATGAAAATTCAAAATTAAAACAAGAACTGGAACAACACTCAGCTCAGACGGAAGAGTTGCGCAAACGCAATGTTTCACTTCAACGCAGCACGGAGAAAGTGAAAAGATCACGTGATCGTCTGCGAGCACGTCTGCGTATAGCGTTACAGTGGGCTCAAAAACTGGAAGAGGGTCAGGCAAATTTGCAAAGTACATGGGATGCTCTCAAACGTTTGGAAACCATTGTCAAACACAAAGAGTCTCAAGTTCGGGGGTTACACGCACGCCATCTGCAAGAGATCGATAAAATGGAAAAGAAATTGGCACAAAAGGAGGAAACGATACGCACTATTTTAAGAGATCGTCTTAATGTAAATTCAACGGAACAGCGATAGCAATAGTTCCTGTTTCATGGAACATATTATATATAATTCTAGTCAATTGTTAGTTTATGTTTATAACGTTTTTCAGTTTTTTAATTAAAAAAAATATATAAAATGCTTAGAATGATGATGTAATACGATTATATAAAATATATAATTATATAAAATCTGAAAGTTTCTATATTAAATATTTTTTGGGAGACTTTAACATTTAGAAACCGCAATATCAAATTTCAGCTGATTTGGAGGAAATTGGGACAAAACCTCCGAAATGCCAAAAAACAGTAGGTGCCGTTAATTGGGCGCTATGATATGGAGTTTCCACTGCACTTGCCTCAGTCTCCATTCTTTGTTCGACCCATGCACAGTGGTACGAAGCCAATAAAAAAATCCTGAATACAATAAAATTTACCTTTATCACTGCAAATATTCTGTTAACATATCAAATTTTAAAATTCCAACAAATTTTTATTAGCTTTTAAGCCGCAACCCAAAGCAGAGATTGTTGATTTATTTTCTTATGATTTTGGAGAAACTTGAAGTACTCATTGCAGTATAGTCAGTTATTTATCTATCATTTTTATTTTGAATGTTAAGGTGAGAATAAAACGGATTTTTGAGTGGCTTAAGTCATCGTCTGGCTTCTTCGAAAAAAAGGAGAGTAGGGCCAAAATCGAACTAATTCAACCTGAATCTCCTTTGTTCTTCTAAGAAGAAGCCAGTCTACGACTTAAGTCAGTCAAAGAAGCGTTTTATTCTCACCTTAACATTCAAAATAAAAATGATAGATAAATAACTGACTGTACTGCAAAGAGTACTTCAAGTTTCGTAGAGGAAACAAGTAAAAAACATTAAATTCGGCCGGGCCGAACTTTTAATACCCTCCATCATTGGGTAAAGAAAACATTTTTATATAAAAGTATCTGAATTCAAACGTGTTCCATGCTGTTAAACTTTTCAAAAAACATAAAGTGGGTTAGGCCTTTATATGGACGCCATACCAAATCGGAAACCTCTATAGACAGTTTTATACTTCAATGATTGTAATCTACCAAATCTTCTTAAATAACAAATTTGAATCAATTTAGTGGGTAAATGTGACTAGGATTATCAAAATACCGAATATCAGTTGAAATCGTGGACCTAAATATTCAAAGTTCTGCCGCCGTTATGAACAAAAATACCAATTTTTAGGCAAATCCGTGGAAAAATGTGGCAAACATTATCGAAATATCGAATATCGGGAGGTACCGTTATATGGGGGCTATACCGAAAAGTGGACCTATATATATTATGTTCCGCAAATGGCACTAGAACCCATTACAAACTATAAATAATAATTTTAGACAAATCCGTGAAAAATTTTTGTAAAAATCATCAAAATACCGAATATTGGGAGGTACCGTTATATGGGGGACATGCCGAATCGTGGATCTATACATATTATGTTCCACCACTGGCGCTAAAACCCATTACAAACTACAAACACTAATTTTTAGACAAATCCGTCGAAAAATGTGGCGAAAATCTTCAAAATACAGAATATCGGGAGGTACGGTTATATGGCGGCTATACCAAAACGAACCTATACCAAATATGAACCGAAATTTTTGAAGCTCTACGTGAAGTAATGTAGGCTGTATCGTGATTTCAACAGACAGACAGACGGACATCGTTCAATCGACTTAGAATTTTATGCTGATCATGAATATGTATACTTTATGGAGTCTACGACAAATATTTAGGGATGTTACAAACGGAACGACGAAGATAATATACCCTATTTTTCAAGGAGTAAGGTATAAAACCTGTAAGAATCTACTACTTTTTCATTTTTTTTTCGATATCATAATTGGGAAATCCGTTATCGTAGTAAAAATTCAAATTCAAATTTTTATTGAGTTTTTTTTTTTTAACACGAAAATTTACAATTTTGAAGTGAAGAAAGAAATACTTAAAACTATAATGTTTTGTTTTAATGACTAAAGCGTATTTTCAGCGTCTGGCTTTACAAAAATTGATAATTAGTGTTTACCATGGTACAATGATATCAAGGTAGGGCAAAGTTAAAAAATCAAAGAAAATACAACTCTCTACGTACGGCTAATAATGTCACACGATGACAAACGTCAGTAGCCATAGACACAAAACTTGTTATGAAAAGAATTTTTTGTTTTGTTATTGTTATTTTTAATGAAATTTGTTATTTTTAACGGAAGATATTCATTCATGAAAACGCGATATTTGTAAAATTAATTGTTTTGTGAAGTTAAATAAAACGTTATGGTTAATTCAAGAGCGTTGTGTTTTTTTTTTAATAGGAAGGAAATTTTTTTTTTTGACCAGCCCCACTCCTATTGAATTATTTTTTTACGAATTCTGGTAAAATTCCCAAGAACGTGTTCTTAACAGGCATTCAAAAACCACAAAATATGTGATACGTGGAAAAGAAGGGCCCACTTGTGTTATATTAAGATGACTGTTTCAAGATGAATCTGTCCATATTTAGGCGTGCTCGTCAGTCTGTCTGGCTCGTGCGCGCGATAACTCTTGAAGGGAGTATCCGATTCGACCCAAAGTTAGTACATCGTAATATTATTGTCAAACTACTTTGGAGAGGCAATATTAGAGTCAATGTTATGCCAGGGGTGAAAATATGCAATATCGGCCCCAACAAATGGTCCACATTTTGAATATTTATAATTTTAATAAAATACCAAATAAGCATCCAATTTTCTTGAAATTTCTCATATCCCAACATTTATACCAGCATGTTTTATAATAATATTAGGATGTACCAAGTTTGCACCAAATCGGATACTCCCTTCGAGAGTTATCGTGCGCACAGGCCAGCCAGACAGACGGACATCGCTAGATCAACTTCAAATGTCCTGAAACGGATTTGGTCCAAAGAGACCTAGGGTCTAAAACCATTATGTTGATTAGGGACGTTTTCGAATTCGTTTTCGTATAGTCCATGGCCCATATAAGGTCGGCCAAGAAGACCTTATATAGACCTTGGTATTGTTATACAATAACATGCTCTTATTTTTCATACTGTGGGATGTATTCCGCTAAGCGTCGTATTAAAGGCTACCGTTTAAATGTTGAACCAAAGTTTTACATTAAGATCCATTTGAAGAAATATTTAGCAAGATTTAGAATGTTGTACATTCTCTCAATTCAAATAATATCCTCCTTTTTTACAGCTCCAGTCAAAGGATCAACAAATGGAAAAACTCCTTCAACGTTTGGCAACAGTGCATAAATTTAATGAACAATTTGCCGATGAAAATCAACGTCTTCTCAACGAGGCCAAAACGCTGCAACAACACATATCCCATTTACAACAACAAATAGCCAATTGTGACAAATGTCAACGTCTGGAAAACGATCTGAGGAAAAGTGAAGAGGATAATCGTTTATTGTCTGCCGATGTAAATATGATGAAGACCCTAGTCTACCGTTTAAATGTACAAATTGAACGTTATCAAGATGCACTGCGCCAAACGAAATTAGCTTCCGAGGAAACTGCAAAGACTGTAACCACCTCCGATCCAACGAAATCTTCTTCCATTTCTCAGTGGCAAGAGGAGCCAATACGCAATCATACATTGGCGCCTCTTTTACAGTCGTATGATGAAATGATACGAGACAAAGAAGATTTAATCCAGCAATATACTCAAGAATTTGAACACTTTACCGGCGAATTGAAAACCGTTTTGGAGGAGAATAATCGGCTACAGCAACAGGTGGACTCGCTTAAAAGAGATGGCGGCAATTGGCGTGAAGAACGTGCACGACTTCAGGCCCAGCTAGATATTTGCCGGCAAAAGGCTGAAGCCCAAACGCGCAAAACCGATTTGGCCAAAGAGAAACTTGTGGAAGTAATGCATTGTTATGAGCAGAAAATACAAACATTGGTCCTGGACATGGAACATTTACAAAATGCCTACACAAGATGTAAAGCCGAATTGGTGTCTCTAAAAAGTATAGCTGCCCTTCCCCAAGATACCATTGCAAATTCCCTCAAAGAATGCAAAGAACTCTTGGAACAACTACGACAACAACACAGTAAAGAGAAATATTCGCTGGAGCGAACAATTGGTGAGTTAACCGAACGACATGCTGGCGTCGATCATCAAGTGCAAAAACTGAGAGATGAAAATTCAAAATTAAAACAAGAACTGGAACAACACTCAGCTCAGACGGAAGAGTTGCGCAAACGCAATGTTTCACTTCAACGCAGCACGGAGAAAGTGAAAAGATCACGTGATCGTCTGCGAGCACGTCTGCGTATAGCGTTACAGTGGGCTCAAAAACTGGAAGAGGGTCAGGCAAATTTGCAAAGTACATGGGATGCTCTCAAACGTTTGGAAACCATTGTCAAACACAAAGAGTCTCAAGTTCGGGGGTTACACGCACGCCATCTGCAAGAGATCGATAAAATGGAAAAGAAATTGGCACAAAAGGAGGAAACGATACGCACTATTTTAAGAGATCGTCTTAATGTAAATTCAACGGAACAGCGATAGCAATAGTTCCTGTTTCATGGAACATATTATATATAATTCTAGTCAATTGTTAGTTTATGTTTATAACGTTTTTCAGTTTTTTAATTAAAAAAATATATAAAATGCTTAGAATGATGATGTAATACGATTATATAAAATATATAATTATATAAAATCTGAAAGTTTCTATATTAAATATTTTTTGGGAGACTTTAACATTTAGAAACCGCAATATCAAATTTCAGCTGATTTGGAGGAAATTGGGACAAAACCTCCGAAATGCCAAAAAACAGTAGGTGCCGTTAATTGGGCGCTATGATATGGAGTTTCCACTGCACTTGCCTCAGTCTCCATTCTTTGTTCGACCCATGCACAGTGGTACGAAGCCAATAAAAAAATCCTGAATACAATAAAATTTACCTTTATCACTGCAAATATTCTGTTAACATATCAAATTTTAAAATTCCAACAAATTTTTATTAGCTTTTAAGCCGCAACCCAAAGCAGAGATTGTTGATTTATTTTCTTATGATTTTGGAGAAACTTGAAGTACTCATTGCAGTATAGTCAGTTATTTATCTATCATTTTTATTTTGAATGTTAAGGTGAGAATAAAACGGATTTTTGAGTGGCTTAAGTCATCGTCTGGCTTCTTCGAAAAAAAGGAGAGTAGGGCCAAAATCGAACTAATTCAACCTGAATCTCCTTTGTTCTTCTAAGAAGAAGCCAGTCTACGACTTAAGTCAGTCAAAGAAGCGTTTTATTCTCACCTTAACATTCAAAATAAAAATGATAGATAAATAACTGACTGTACTGCAAAGAGTACTTCAAGTTTCGTAGAGGAAACAAGTAAAAAACATTAAATTCGGCCGGGCCGAACTTTTAATACCCTCCATCATTGGGTAAAGAAAACATTTTTATATAAAAGTATCTGAATTCAAACGTGTTCCATGCTGTTAAACTTTTCAAAAAACATAAAGTGGGTTAGGCCTTTATATGGACGCCATACCAAATCGGAAACCTCTATAGACAGTTTTATACTTCAATGATTGTAATCTACCAAATCTTCTTAAATAACAAATTTGAATCAATTTAGTGGGTAAATGTGACTAGGATTATCAAAATACCGAATATCAGTTGAAATCGTGGACCTAAATATTCAAAGTTCTGCCGCCGTTATGAACAAAAATACCAATTTTTAGGCAAATCCGTGGAAAAATGTGGCAAACATTATCGAAATATCGAATATCGGGAGGTACCGTTATATGGGGGCTATACCGAAAAGTGGACCTATATATATTATGTTCCGCAAATGGCACTAGAACCCATTACAAACTATAAATAATAATTTTAGACAAATCCGTGAAAAATTTTTGTAAAAATCATCAAAATACCGAATATTGGGAGGTACCGTTATATGGGGGACATGCCGAATCGTGGATCTATACATATTATGTTCCACCACTGGCGCTAAAACCCATTACAAACTACAAACACTAATTTTTAGACAAATCCGTCGAAAAATGTGGCGAAAATCTTCAAAATACAGAATATCGGGAGGTACGGTTATATGGCGGCTATACCAAAACGAACCTATACCAAATATGAACCGAAATTTTTGAAGCTCTACGTGAAGTAATGTAGGCTGTATCGTGATTTCAACAGACAGACAGACGGACATCGTTCAATCGACTTAGAATTTTATGCTGATCATGAATATGTATACTTTATGGAGTCTACGACAAATATTTAGGGATGTTACAAACGGAACGACGAAGATAATATACCCTATTTTTCAAGGAGTAAGGTATAAAACCTGTAAGAATCTACTACTTTTTCATTTTTTTTTTCGATATCATAATTGGGAAATCCGTTATCGTAGTAAAAATTCAAATTCAAATTTTTATTGAGTTTTTTTTTTTTAACACGAAAATTTACAATTTTGAAGTGAAGAAAGAAATACTTAAAACTATAATGTTTTGTTTTAATGACTAAAGCGTATTTTCAGCGTCTGGCTTTACAAAAATTGATAATTAGTGTTTACCATGGTACAATGATATCAAGGTAGGGCAAAGTTAAAAAATCAAAGAAAATACAACTCTCTACGTACGGCTAATAATGTCACACGATGACAAACGTCAGTAGCCATAGACACAAAACTTGTTATGAAAAGAATTTTTTGTTTTGTTATTGTTATTTTTAATGAAATTTGTTATTTTTAACGGAAGATATTCATTCATGAAAACGCGATATTTGTAAAATTAATTGTTTTGTGAAGTTAAATAAAACGTTATGGTTAATTCAAGAGCGTTGTGTTTTTTTTTAATAGGAAGGAAAATTTTTTTTTTGACCAGCCCCACTCCTATTGAATTATTTTTTTACGAATTCTGGTAAAATTCCCAAGAACGTGTTCTTAACAGGCATTCAAAAACCACAAAATATGTGATACGTGGAAAAGAAGGGCCCACTTGTGTTATATTAAGATGACTGTTTCAAGATGAATCTGTCCATATTTAGGCGTGCTCGTCAGTCTGTCTGGCTCGTGCGCGCGATAACTCTTGAAGGGAGTATCCGATTCGACCCAAAGTTAGTACATCGTAATATTATTGTCAAACTACTTTGGAGAGGCAATATTAGAGTCAATGTTATGCCAGGGGTGAAAATATGCAATATCGGCCCCAACAAATGGTCCACATTTTGAATATTTATAATTTTAATAAAATACCAAATAAGCATCCAATTTTCTTGAAATTTCTCATATCCCAACATTTATACCAGCATAGGATCCTGCGTGAAGATGGCAGATATCGATCCACTCCTTCTGTTACCTCCCCCACAAAGGGGTCAACATATTGAATACCAATGAAGCTCATAAAACGGGAAATTCGCATCCGATTATTTTCAAATTTGGCACATCTCAATATCTATTACCTATTAAACTAATAATCACCGATATTTATATTAAATTATGCATACATTTGTTTTTATAGATTTATTTCAAAGAATAAAAAATTACAGATATATAAATAGTTCATATTTATGTTCCATATGCTCTATGTCCGACTCGTTTTATCTAATTACAAACGTGTATATATTGACATTGTTAATTAAATTTTAGTCTATTATAATATTAACAGTTATAGTATCTAATCTATGGAGTATTTAACAGATAATCAATTACATATATTTTCAGTTAAAGTTGAATTTTTAATAGCTTTTTTTGTCCCGAAATTCGCTGCTTAGCCTTTTGTATTTTTAACCCCACATTCAAATGCTTAATGCGAAAATAAATACGACATTTGAAAAAATATTGCTTTACTTTGTAATCAATGTCCACATTTTCGCTCATTTCACACATTCGGCTGTGCAATTTATCTCTGTGATCAATTCTGTCGCCGTTTAAACTGTGAAAAATTGATTCCAGTTGAAGTATTTTCAGCAAAAAATCTTTGGAGGGCTTTTTTAGAAAACCTTTTGATACTTGATCCACCCAAGTAAATGTTTTTTCTTCGCATAGATGCTCTGGGATGTTTAGCTTTCGGATCATATATCCCGCTATATACTCCAGCGCATCATCTTTCAGGGTTCCGATATCCGGAAAATCTTTTATTTCTATTTCTTCTAAATATTCGTTTACTTGGTTTTCATTATTTTGTTCGAAGGGGAATTCTTCAGTTGCTATAGGTGCATGTAAGGAAGATACCCATGGCGTAGGATCATTATTTACATTTCCTGTGTTATCCATTAATTCCGTGTTTCTAGCTAGATAAATAAGATAAGAATGGTAAGTGATACTTAATATTCTGCTAAACATGTACATTAACACAAACCTAGAATATATTTTCTCATTCTGTATTTAAAATCCTTGGGAGTCGGGTGGTCGTTTAGTCCCCCTTTACTCCTTAGTGCTCCGAAAAAGTTCTCCAAGACATCCTGATTTAATCGGTTTGTTAATATATATCTCACGCCGAATTTTTCTTGAAGATATTCATAAAGCATACATAGAGCATTATTTGTCATCATGATACCTTTTTGAAAAACACACAGACTTTTTTTCCCTGGAATCATGGGTTCAGAAACAGCTTCTGTCATTCTCCTCAGTACTTCGTTCTGCCTCTCTTTCGATATTCCGTATGGTTCCTATTAAAGTGTTTTTACGAAAAAATCATGTTATAAGAACATTAAAAAATAAGAAAAAAAGCAGATAAGTTTGGCCTGGCCGAACTTTTAATTCCCTCCACCATTTTGCCAAAAATTAAAAAAAAAAACTAATATACGAGGGTACTCTTGTATGGGTGCTATACTTAGACGTGGACCTGCATAAGTAATTTTCTTTATAGGTAGTAGTTACCATTTCGAATTTCAAATGCCAATTGTAAACTATTCTGGTGAATAATGTCGCTAAAATCATCCCAATTCCGAATATCGGGAGATACCGTTGTATGGGGCCATACGAAAACGTGGAATTTGCAATACCAAAGTCCTGCAGACATTATATACACTGAGCAAAATTGCATCAACTTACTTCATTTCAATCGGAAGCTTGAGTGATTTCTACAGACGGACGGACAGAGGGATGGACATCAACATAGAATTTTATGATGATAATATATATATATATATATATATATATATATATATATATATATATATATATATATATATATATATATATATATATATATATATATATATATATATATATATATATATATATATATATATATATATATATATATATATATATATAAATTAATTCAATGTTAATTTATTTATTTTTTTAAAAATTTGTGATTGCTGCTTACTGCAAGCAATCACGTCTTTATTGGTTAAGGTTCCGGACTACAAAGTAAAGTATGAAATAAAACTACCCTAACTTATACTTTGGATTCATGCACCCAGATGATACTGGACACCTGCTCGTGTTGGCGATGGAATGTTGCTGTCTGCCTGTTGGATGTTGTTGTCAGTGTTTCGGTGGGAACTGCAGTGTCAGCAAAATGACACGCTTATACTTTGGTTGATGAATTCTTTGGGTTGCTAATGTTGAATTTGAATATGTCTGGTGTTAACTCC